GCTTCACTACGAGCATGGTCAGCACCTATGAAATGCTGAACAGGGCAGAAGCATGCAAAAGCATATTTATGAGGCTGGTAGAAAAAAGGTTCCTGCTATCTGGATGACCTAATTTTCAACTCCCATCATCTTGAAGTTAGGAGAGGTCAAAATAGAGAAGATGGGAAAAATATGTGATTGGGTCTCATTCAAAAACTTCAAATTCAGCAGATCTGGAAGGTGAGTTGTAGTTTACCCACAGGGTGCTTTAGTTCACCGAGAGCCTGCCTTACAGATAAACTGTAACACTGACCTCTTCCTAAAGCTATGTATTTCATGAGTTTTTATTTGCTGGATTTATATATTTGTGCTGCCTTTGTTCCAAAGTTTCTGTCTAGGATGCTTTAGATATAAGTCACCAGAGTTATGCTCTGGGGTTTGCCTAAATTGAAATTGAGCAAATGGAAGAGAAGGCAAAAGTATGGGGTTAAGTAATATTGCAAAAGAACAATGTATACAGAGGAGGGGTAATTTAATGCCTGCTGTAGGTGGTCTTCAAGAGTCCTGCAGCCAGTGGCTGGGGAAGCCCCGCCTTGGCGTTCTCCTGCAGTCTGAGAACATTCCAAGAGTGGGAAGGGGAGGAGGAAGATATAAGCAAAATACCTGGGCACAAGCCATTGTGCGTGTCTAAAGCATGGACTTAGTTTATTGTGTGGAATTACGGGAGTGAAAGAAATGTGGACAGACACCATACTGCCTCCTGAGAGGGAATCAAGGCCGGTTGGTAGATTGAGGGAGTAGGTCTGGGCTCACAGCTTAGTGATGAAACTAAGTAGGGTCAGATGAAATGAACCATTCAGAGGTCATTTATTTCCTGTCTCATCCTGCTACAAGTGCAACGAAAAATAAACTAGCTCTTAAAACAAGAGTTCAATTCTGTTAAAAGTCAAATGTTACTTAATTTGTCCCGATCCATGCTGAATTATCCCAGACTGTGAGGACATTTGCTTGCCTAACTTTTCTTAACAAAACTTGAGGTTTAAGTTTGTGCCAAAAACAAACTATTTCATTAGCCTAAGCCAAAAAAAAAAAAAAAAGTTCTGCAGCCTCTGCTACTTGCACTTGTTTGGCTATTTTAAGGCTGTGGACATTCTGACACCCTCACTTGACTCTTTCAGCCCATCTGACTCACCTCGACCACCCCCTGAAGTTTAATACTATCTCTTACCCTCCTCTTCCTGAGCCTCTGAGTGTGAGATGGGGCGGGATTAGAGTCGGGGAGGCTGCGGGATGCGAGGTAAATTGGGTGGAGCCTTGGATTAGACATGGGTTAGTTTCAGGCATTGAGGTTGTCTAAGCACACATCACTTGATAATTTTTTTAAAAGCCAAAAGTTTAGTGGTCAACAATTATTTTATGATCTTGCTTATATGAAATATCTAGAATAGGCAAATGTATAGAGACCAAAGTTTATCAGTGGTTACTAGGGGCAGGTGGGAGGGAAAGGAAAGGAGGAGTCATTGCTTAGGGGACACTAAGCTTCTGTTAAGGGTGATAGAGAAAAAACTGCAAGTGGATAATGGTGATGGTTCAACAACATGAGGAACATAATTCATGTCACTGAATTGTACGTGTAAAAAATGTTAAAACAGCAAATGTTTTGTTATGCATATGTTTACCACAATTTAAAAAAAACTGCAATTACTGGGATTCTAGAATATAATGAAGCCTGGAACACAACAAAACTTTATGAGATTTAGGGGAAAAATGTTTAATGGTCAAAAGGGGATGCTTCAGAACACAGGCATCTAATAGCCTTCACTTGGTACAGTAGGGAGAATAATAGCCACCCAAAGATATCCATGTCCTAACCCCAGAACCTGTGAATATGTCACCTTATATGGCAAAAGGGACTCTGCATATATGATTACTTTAAGAGTTTTGAGATAGCGAGATTGTCCTAGATTATCTGGGTAGGCCCAGTTAATTACAAGAGTCCTTATAGGAGGGAGGTATGAGAGTCAGAGAAGGAAATGTGATGATGGAAGCAGACAGAAAAATATATGAAAACATTACGCTGCTAGCTTTGAAGGAGGAAGAAGAGTCAAGAAGTGTGGGTGACTTCTAAAAGTTAAAAAAAGCAAAGGAACACATTCTCTTCTACAGCTTTCAGAAGGAACCAGCCTTGCCATCACCTTGATTTTATCTCATAGAGACCAGTTTTGGACCTGTGACCTCCAGAACTGTAAGAAAATAAATTTCTGTTGTTTTAAGGCACCAAGAATCTGGTAGTTTGTTACAGCAGCAATAGGAAGCTAAAACACTTTGTTGGCTTCTACTGGGCCACCACTGCTTCCACTGTGAGAGGAGGACTTCCTACTATTTCCCAGGCTTCACCTCCCAGTAGATCCTAATGAGTAATTCCCAAGGTTGTAGAGAAACCAGGGCTTTGAACTCGTTCAAACCCCTGCTGAGAATGTGCATTTCTAACAAGTTCCCTGCTGAGAATTTGCATTTCCACTCCAGCTATACTGAATTATAATCTACATTTTAACAAGATCCCCAGGTAATTCTTATGTAAAACTTCCCGGGAACTTGCTGGAAATGCAAATTCTCAGCAGGGGTTTGAACAGGAACAAGCTGGTTTGAAGCCCTGAGAGAAACCACCAGTGTTACAGAAAACAGGACAGGTCTCCCTGGTCAGCCTCCACTCTTGGGGCAGTGTTGTATCTCTATGCTTAACCATCTCTGGTTTCACAAAGAGATAGTTATGCTGCGGGATGTTTCCTAAGGCAGAGTAGAGCCACAGAACTTTAAAACACCAACATTCATGCTCCCTATGACAGTGCCCCTCAGTCTTGTTCCTACCTCCACACTGTCACTTGTATGCATATTCTCAGCCTTAGTAGCTGGAATTCTCAAAACTCCCCAGTTCACACACCCTCCACCCTCTTTCCCTGCCACTCAGAATCACTGCTTTGTGAATTTGCACATCTTTACCTACCTGTTGTTAGCGCTGTAGGGTCGGTTCCAACTCATAGTGACCCTATGTACAACAGAATGAAACACTGTCCAGTCCTGTGCCATCCTCACAATTGTTGTTATGCTTGAGCCCATTGATGCAGCCACTGTGTCAATCCATCTTGTTGAGGGTCATCCTTTTTTGCTGATCCTCTACCTTACCAGTCATGATGTCCTTTTCCAGGGACTGGTCCCTACCTACCTACATTTATGTCTATATATCTATCTCTATCTTATCCTAACTACCTATCATTTTTGTTGTTTGCCATTGAGTTGATTCCAACTCATGGCGACCCCATGTGTGTCAGAGTATAACTGTGCTCCATGAGGATTTCAAAGACTGATATTTCAGAATTAGACTGTAAAGCCAAAAGGTTGGCAATTCAAATCCACTCAGAGGTGCCTAAGAAGAAAGGCCTGGTGATTTACTTCCAAGGCAACTGGTTTTGGCTCTTGAGAGACACATCATCACCACCTGGATGGTGCAATCTGATTCTTTAAGACCTAGGGTGTTTTAAACCTGTTGCCATCCAGTTGAGTCGACTCCAACTTACAGCGACTCCATGTGTGTCAGGGTAGAATTGTGCTCCATAGGGTTTTCAATGGCTGATTATTCAGAAGTAGATCACTAGGTCTTTCTTCTGAGATGCCTCTGGGTGAATTAAAACCACCTTTTGGTCAGCAGCCAAGCACATTAACTGTCTGCACCATCTGGGGACTCCTGTGCCCTTTGGGCCTTTGCTAATTTGCAAGTCTGTACAACAAACAGCCATGAACATATGTACAGTCATGTGCCGCATAAAGTCCATTTGGATAACGTCCAACCGCATATATGTCCGTGGTCCCAACCCCCGTAAAGCCTATGACATTAAAAATTCAATGTACACACAATGGTTCATAATAACAAACAGGTGCTACTTTGCGATATGTATCCAAACATTATTATTATTACTGGATTATTATGCTAAAGATGTTTTAGTGTATCTGGAAGTATTTCTTTAATGTTTTTTATGCATAGAAAGATACACCATATACTATATATTAAGACAAACATTTGACTAAGTGACGTTAGATATGAACTGTACCTAACTGTTTTGACTTACATACAAATTTGACTTACAGACAGACTTAAGAATGGAACTTGTTCGTAATCTGGGGACTGCCTATATATAATATGGTGTTCCCACAACATACAAATCACGTAAGATCCCACTTCACAGAATATATTGTGGACTTTAAGTGACGCATGACTGTATATGTTTCATTTTCTTTATCTGTCTTTCCTATTAGACTGTCAATTAAAAAGATTGCTTTCCTGTGCTTCCCTTTGTTGGGATTTAGTTCTTCCCCCACCCCTTCACTTAACCACAAGTTCTAGTTTGTCTGGAATCTCACGTACCCATTAGAAAAAGAAATGCTACCACATCCAAAAGGTGTGAAGGTTCCAACGATAGCTTGCTTTGGCAAGTCACTGAATATGTTGGTGTACACACCACCCCAAGGGAGGTTAGAATAGCTTTGGCAGACAGCTAGGCGACCAGAAGGATAGATAAAATCCCAGTTAAGGAACAAATATTGATAACAATAATGGTAGTAATAATTCTTACATAGAATGATGTTAACTGTCATACACTTATACTATTTAATTTTTTAATTGGCTATTGACAGATAAGGCCATAGAGGTCCAGAGAGGGTGACTCACTTTCCCACTGTCACTGAGCACGATAATGGCAGTGCCACATCAGTGCCTGGGTCCCTTCACTCCCTGCTGCACGTTCTTCCCGTAGGTTCACACTATTTGCACCTTCATTTTAACCCCAAATTCCTTGAAACTAATCTTGTGGATACTAACAGGGGAGTCTGGTCAGACTGTCCTGTTAATGGCAGAATTGCTGGAAGCCAGAACTACCGAGCACTGCCTGACAAGGTTGTTCCAGCACAGAGAAGGAGGATCAGGTCTCCCCACCATTATCTATGGACATACCAGGGCCAAAGGAAGGTTGAGGAATAACTACGGGTATGTGAACTATTTCATAAAATCTATCTGTAACCACTCTACAGCACTGACTCTGTCGGATTCTTGAGACTTTTTCATTTTGAACTTTTAGGAACTTATTACAAAATCCTTCTCCTCCCTTAGCTAGATTCCGTGGATGCTAAAGCCCCAGTGGTTCTCTCTAATAATCAGGAAAATAAATCAAGGAGAACTCATTTTTTCAGAAACACATGGGCCCTCAAGTATGTAACAAAATTATTGGCTACAACCAGAGGTTTCCTCAAATAGACGTTAGACATGTAAAATTGGAGATCTTGCCCCAACCCCTTTCCCGAGTTGACTTCTTCCGCCCCCAGAGTGAAGGAATATGGAAAAAGGGATTGAATAAACTCAAGTCGTCAGACGTCCCCAGTACTTCCTGGGATCTTCTGCTGAAATGGAAATGCCCCATCTGTCATTCCCTTTCATTACACACTGCCTCCTCCATCCTCCTCTCCCCTTAGGAATTTCATCAGGATATTAGGTCAGAGAAGAACCGTCCACCAAAGCATAATGAAATTTTTTCATCATAGGGTCATCCTTTTTGACCTGTGGCATCTGAGGCTTCCCCTTCAGCAGCTCAAACCAGAAACACCGGGACATGTGGCCATCCTTGCCAACCTCCAGTTCATCTCTGGGGTCGTTATAGTGGCGGAGGATAAGTTGTTTGGTGAATCCCTCTTTTTTTAGCTTAGCTTCTTCCTGTTTTCTGTTCAAAAGAAAAGAATTCATGACATGGATAATTTCTTGGTCTTACCAACATCTGGAAGACAGCCAGGAAGACAGCCAGTGACTGTTTGAGGCCTCTGTAGCCTCACCTCCACCAATCTAATAAAATTAAAATTAAAAAAAAAACAAAAAACAAAAAAACAGTTGCCAGTTGTGTAGACTCCAGCTCATGGTGACCCCATGTGTGTCAGAGTAGAACTGTGCTCCACAGGGTTTTTAGTGGCTGATATTTTGGAAGTAGATTGCCAGGATGTCTTCTGAAGATCCTCTAGGTGGACTTGAACCTCCAACTTCTGGTTAGCAGTTGATAGCTTAACCATTTGCACCACCCAGGGATGCCTTCACCAATCTAATAGGCTTCCTTTAAATCAGAACCATAATTTTGAAACAGATTCACTATGAGTTCTTAGTCAGGTGCTTACTGAGTGCTTATCATTTTCAAACAATTATTGAGTACTTACTGTGTGTGAAGTACTGTACCAGAGGCTGCAGGAAATGTAATGATTAGTAAGCAGCCTGTCCTCCCAGGAGCAGCAGGATGTGGTACAGGCTTTGCATGAGATCTGATCTGGACCCTCGTTCTACTTTCTAACTGTAGAATTTAGGCAAATTACTAAACTCCTCGAGCCTTGGTTTCTTCATTGGTAAAATGAGGTAACACTATCTTGTAAAAATGTTGTAAGCATTGTCTGATTAATGCACACGAATCTCTGAGCACCACTCCTAGCATTTATTATGCACTCTATAAACAGAAGTTGTTAGTTACAATTTCGTTGGGAACATACATGTGTTCATTAATAATAAGGTGGGAAAGGCAAAGAGTAAGAGAATATGAAGCTATCCAGTTTCTAGGTTTCAGACCGAGACCCTGATATGGAAGGTAGGGTAGTTTCTTAGAACATTTATTTAATCATTCACAAATATTCACTAGGTGTTTCCACAGGCAAAACTCCTAACATTCCTGTGAGAAGGGTACTATTTATCTCCATTCTAAAGAGAAGGCCCAAGTTTAACACGGTAAAGCAAGAATTCAATGGCATACATACCAATTCCAAACTCACTAGTCTACTCTCTCCACTCCATGGCACTGCTTCCCACACCCCTAGTGCCAGGCAAAACAGGAGCTGTGGGCATAGCACAAAATACAGACCTACAAAGACTCTGTATCTGAGGATCAGCTAGTGAAGTAGAACTTCCCAGTCCTTGCCCAGCTTCCCACCCCCACATCACGTGCATGCACACACATACAAAAATGCACACACAGGCACACATGTGTACACACACACACTCACATACACAAGTGTGCCACGCAGTAGCTGTTAGCAATACACTATTAGAAGAAGCTACCAGGAGTCAGGCTGGCAAAACAGAGGTCATATACTAAGGAGACATCCTTAGCTCTCTTGGAGACCAACACTGCCTGTTTAATGTCTGCATGGACAGGATGGCTTGCCTCTACTTCATGGTTCCAGCTATCAAGGTGGGCTGCTGAGTTTCTTGTTTATTAATACAGAATGTGGGGATGGAATTGGGTAGATTCATGACCAACACTTAAGAGTAATTGGAAGTGCCAGGACTCTAATCAGGAGCCACTTGTCTTAGAGCAGAGTCAGCCGTTTGAGTTTTTCTAACTTGGGCATAGTGTGGGACTAAAACAAACAACAAAAACCAAAACTCAGTAACAATGTGAAAGAATATCTAAAGTGGCCCTCTGCAAGTCCTTTCAGATTCACAGCAGATTTGAACAACAGTCCCCAAGGTTTTTCATTTTAAAGTGCATTTGAAAATTCCTAAATTTGGGCTGACATATCTCAAGAAGGGTCTTAGAGTGTTTGAGAGAATTGGGTTGTGTGTGTGTGCATGTGTGTGTGTATGTGTGCATTTATTGGTTGGGTGCAGGCTATGGAAAATGGGAAGACCTATTCTGAAAAGATTAAAAAAGGATTTAGAGTGTTATTGGAAATAATATAACCCATTATTTAATGAAAGGAGGGAGAGGTATAATAGCCACACTATTGTTGATGAAGGGGATCTAGGGGTGGGATTCTCTGGCAGTTGGCAGGGGTCACTGGCCCCTTTCATAGAAATGGTCCTGCAGGGAAGGATTCAGAGCCAGGAGGGTAGGGAAAGGCCAAACCTGCCACTCAGTAGCTGGAAAACAGAAATGCTCAGCTAAAATAACTGCTTTCTCTTTCTTCCCCCTTTGTCTCTTTCTCTTGCTTCCCTCCTCCTGGCTCTCCCTCCTTTCTTTCTCATATTCTCATGATTCCACTGTCAAAAATGAGGAGAGTGGGCAGAATTTTTGAACACTATGACAAAAGCAAATCATTTATAGATTGCCACGCTTCCCCACACCACCACACATGCAGGCTCCCATTTATAAGCATCAAAAGCTAGAGGAACGTCAGCTTAACAACACAGTTACAAACCCAACTAGAAACCATGTCTAATTACCACTCTTCAAACCAACACCTCAGCCCTTTCATTCAGTACCTAGACATGGTTCTATTTTTCTATGACTTGCCAGAAATGGACCTTTTAGATTATTCTGAAAAGAAAGCTAAGTATGCCTCTAGAGGAGGCGGGGCCAAGATGGTGGAGTAGTCAGATGTTTCTGGTGGACACTCTTACAACAAAGACCCAAAAACACAAGTGATTTGATTATATATGGCAATCTGGGAGCCCTGAACATCAAAGGCTGAGTTGAGGAACCAGACGGAGTGGCTGGGGGAGGGAAAGACAGTTTGGAAGCTGTGAGGAGCTGCCAGACTTGACCTGGTGAGCACCTAAGCCCTTGAGGCCTAAGCAACTCGTGGGTGAGAGCGGTGAGGCAGACAAGCAGCCATGCTCAGGAGGTGCATTTTCTGCACCAGGAGAGACCCAGCGCCAGAGAGTCTACACGACCACCCAGAACCAGTGAGAAGCAGCCCTCAATCTGGCGAAAGATAAGTCATTGCGTACGGCCTACCACATGGATCAAAAACACCCTCCTTAGGGAAAAACTTCTCTCCCATTTACCTCCCTGCTCCCTGCTCTGCACTGGGTCCTGGACTGGCCTCAGCAATTGCTGACTCACTGGGCCAGAAGTAGGATCTGTCACATGCCCAGAGCCATTCTCCCTGCCTTGGACAGTGACCAAATTAACAAACAGGGGAAAAAATAAACTGCTGGCTCCCCTAAGCCAGGAACCCAGGCTAGGCACAGCTCCTTTGCCTAGGCGCAGGCATAAGGGATCCACGGACTTTGAGTGCCTTTCCTCCTGCATAGACTTGTATGAGCACATCTCAACAACGTAGGCCCTCATTACCACAGTATAACAGGGTATATACCAGCACTCTAACTTCAACTGTTTCGGCTGTGAAGTGGCAGGTTCTTAACATTTGACACTGCTCTGCCCATTAAGCAAGGTCTTCATCTACCCACATCAGGGGCCTGAGGACTGGTGACTCCACCCATGCCACCTAGCCACTTGCAATAGGGGCCCATGAATAAGAGGTGCCCCCTCGTCCTTACAGCCAACAGCATTAGGTGCTCACAGTCTGGCTGCAAAACCCAATCACCTACGTGCTCCAGGGAACAGGGACACGCCTTCCTCCAGGACATTTGGGGGCGGCCGTCAGCCCCCTGCCTTGCTCAGAGCGTGTCCCCCTGCTGTAGCCAGATGTCTGTGCCTACACCAATCACCCATGCCTGTCTAGGTCTGTAAGTGAGAACCTACACCACACACTTGGTGGCCAACTACCTGGGAATCTGAGATGAATCCATACAGGAGGACTGGGCAGACTCCTGAGCTCACATACCTAGTAACAGATCTAACCATGCAGTAACAGGACATTAGAGCTTCAAAGATGGCAATAATCAAACTAGCTCATACGATCAGCCTATTTGGGCATATCAGAACAAAACAAGAAACAAGGACACTGTAAACAAACATAAAATAAATAAATATAATAACTCATTGATGGCTCTGACACAACAGTCAATATCAAATCACATAAACAGGCAATCCATGATGGCTTCAGCAAGGTCCCAGAATAAAGAATCTAGAAATTTTCCAGAGGAGGAAAATTTCTTGGACTTACGGGAGGCAGAATAGAAAAGATTAATATACAGAACTCTTCAAGAAATTAAGAAGGAAATTAAGCAAATTCAGAACACACAATAGAGGCAATTAAAAAGGTTAGAGAAGAGCATGATGACAATTTAACAGGCTGCAAGAATCCATAGAGAGACAGCAATCAGAAATCCAGAAGATTAACAATAAAATTTCAGAATGAGACAACTCAATAGAAAGTCACAGGTGCTGAACTGAGGCAATGGAAGTCAGAATTAGTGAGATTGAAGATAAAGCACTTAACACCAACTTATTTGAGGAAAAGTCAGATAAAAGGATATTTAAAAAAAAAGAAGAAACCCTAAGAATTATGTGCGACTCTATCAAGAAGAATAACCTATGAGTGA